ATTGCTTTTTCTATATGTCTCTTGCATTCCAGGCAAATGAAAGTATCCTGTATATGTGCATGGAGTGTAAAATTGGTATTTAAACATTCTGGCTGTGTAAACCACCCCATCTATAAACAAATGAATCTTTTACTTGTATTCTAGTCAGGATAAAGTTTGGTTTACCTTTGGTGGAACTCTTAGGGCTTAGAAAACAGGCCTTGGAGTTTAACAAGCTAGTGGTCTAGGGGAGGAGGAGGGCAAATCTGGTTATATGAAGTGAGACTCGTGGTAGGGATAATAGTGGTTTATATTCACTGTATTCATTCTTCCATTTTCCCCCGTGATTAAAGGTGTGGTGGTTGGGGGGTTGAGTTGAGTCATTAGAAGTGTATGACCTTTGTAAGTTCCCACTGTGAGCTGTCTGAGGAATGATTGTGCATATAGTTGGCTTTTTAAAAAGTGTACAGTTCCTCCTGTCTTTCCCTCCCTGGTCCAATAATCTGCAATAATCTCTGCAATCTGTGAGGTAGATCATCTCATAATGCCCCCCTGCCCCCCCAAAAAAAGACATGTAGGCAGCTTTTTCTTTATGGCACAGCTGCATTACTCAAAGTTGCCTGTATACTTTTCTTTTTTTTGTTTTTGTTTTTTTTAATGTATTTTATTGATTATGCTATTACAGTTGTCCCATTTTCCCCCTTCTCTCCCCTCCACCCTGTACCCCCCTCTCCCACCCACGTTCCCCCCTTTAGTTCATGTCCATGTGTCATACTTATGAGTTCTTTAGCTTCTACATTTCCTGTACTATTCTTGCCCTCCCCCTATCTATTTTCAACCTACATTCTGTGCTACTTATTCTCTATACCTTTTCCCCCCTCTCCTCCTCCCACCCCCCCTGCTGCTAGCCCTCCATGTGCCCTCCATTTCTGTGGTTCTGTTCCTGTTCTAGTTGTTTACTTAGTTTCTTTTGGTTTTGCTTTAGGTGTGGTTGTTAATAATTGTGAGTTTGCTGTCCTTTTACTATACATGTCTTTTCTTTATCTTCTTTTCTTAGATAAGTCCCTTTAGCATTTCATAAAATAAGGGCTTGGTGATGATGAACTCCTTTAACTTGACCTTATCTGAAAAGCACTTTATCTTCCCTTCCATTCTAAATGAGAGCTTTGCTGGATAGAGCAATCTGAGATGTAGGTCCTTGTCTTTCATGACTTGGAATATTTCTTTCCAGCCCCTTCTTGCCTGTAAGGTCTCTTTGGAGAAATCAGCTGACAGGGAACTCCTGATCATCTGATGGGAACTCCTTTGTAGGTGACTGTCCCCTTATCTCTTGCTGCTTCTAGGATTCTCTCCTTCATTTTTACCTTGGCTAATATAATTATGATGTGCCTTGGTGTGTTTCTTCTTGGGTCCAACTTCTTTGGGGCTCTCTGAGCTTCTTGGATTTCTTGGAAGACTGTTCCCTTTGCCAGACTGGGGAAGTTCTCCTTTATTATTTGTTCAAATACGTGCTCAATCTGTTGCTTTTTTCCTTCCCATTCTGGTACCCCCTATAATTCGGATGTTGGAACGTTTAAAGGTGTCCTGGATGCTCTTAAGCTTTTTCCTCAATTTTTTGAATTCTTATTTCATCATGCTTTCCTGCTTGTTTGATTCTATCTTCCTTCTGGTCCACTGTATTGTTTTGAGACTCAGATTCCTTCCTTTCACTATTGGCTCTCCTCCGCGTATCTTTCATCTCTTTGATGGTAACCTGCATCCTTTCATCTAAATTGCGCCCAAAATCAACCAATTCCGTGAGCTTTCTGATCACCAGTGTTTTGAACTGTGCATCTGATAGATTGGCTATTTCTTGGTCACTCAAAAGGATGAGTCCTGGGGGACTGATCTGTTCTGTTGGAAACATGTCTTATGTCTTTCCCTGTCTCTCCTTTTTTTTTCCGGTCTGGTCTGGTCGCTCTTGTTACAGTGAGGGGTGGAGCCTTAGGTGTGCACCGGGGCTGGGCACCCTGGTCGCTAGATTGTGACGTTATATGTGGGGGCGGGGGCGGGGGCGGGGGCGGGAGCGGGAGGGAACAATGGCGGTAGTTCCGTTCTCCTGGGCTCAGACCCTTCTTTGGGATCCTGGGCTGGGAGCTCTGCCCTGGTCCACAATCTCTGCCTCACTGGGTCCGCCAGCCGCAACTTGCGTACTCAGGGATCACCGCTGCGTTCTTGCGCCCTGGATGGCTGTCGCGCCGATTTCGCGCCAAATTTTCCCCGATCTCTGCGCACTGCCGACCGCGCCAGCCCCGCGCCCGCCCGGCTTGTCGTCTCCTACCAGTCTGGATGTCCGGGTCTACTTCAACTTCTTGGCTGTCTGACTTCCATTCAGATAAATCCTCTGTCAGTTCTGAGTGATATTCTGTCTGTAAATTATTGTTGTTCTAATCTTGGTTGTGCGAAGAGGTATGGTGTGTCCACCTATTCCTCCATCTTGCCGGAAGTCCCCGCCTGTATACTTTTCAAAAGCAAATACAATGATCTCTTTGTACCAGTGGACTTGTTTTCTTTGTTTGTTTGTTTGTTTGTTTGTTTTCCATCTTTGTGTGGGTCCCCATACTGTCCCATCCTCTATGAGACATACTTGGGCCTATTGGCCTGTACCCCATCCGACTCGTGCAGAACCTGGAGTTTTAACTTCCCAACTTGGTCTTGGCACCTGTGCTTAAGAGTGCTACTTGGGGGTGCTAGATTGCTACATTTGTTAATAGCAAGTCCTACTTTTCAACAGGATGCCAACCAAAAGTTTTCTTAAATTGAAATTGTCAGTGTTAGATGTCATGTTGGTGTTGAGACATTCTTTGATATGAGGGACAGGGGACCAGGAATGCCTGGATTTTACATCAGATCAAAATGATCTCTTCCTACCCAGTACCTGTGATCCTTCCCCAAGAAACATTGGGAACTGGGAACAAAATAACATTGTTAATTTAATTTGAATCTCAATCCTCTATATTAAAAACTTCAGTTAGCTGGATCAGACCATTTGGAACATAAACAGTTTCATCACAAAGCAGGTTCTGACAAAGCACCTCCATCCTACCCTACCTATCCAGCCCCTAAACTTGTATCATATTTCCTCTCCCCTGCCCTAATGGAAGGACTTAGAGTCTGGAAGGACCCAGGGGCAGGACCTGAGTCTGGTTACTCTTGCTGCTTTATTGGGTGAAAAAAGAGAGAGCAGGTTCCCCCCTCATGGGTCTTTGTGAGAAGACCAGCCTATGCCAAGCGCATGGGGGCTTTGGTACCCCCTGCCTTGGCAAAGGAAAGAAGACGGAGCTGTAATCGGCCCATAATCCCACTGTCAAGTGTCTTGGGACTCTTCCTGGGGGAGGAGTGTGGAGAAGGTTGAAGTGAGCGCGGGGTACTTCATTGGTCCTGCATGCTTTATACTCAGACCACCAGTGGAAATTACTGCCCTGTGTTGCTAGCCTGCAGGTTTGAAGAAACATTAAACAAAACATTAGACTTAAGAGATAGGCCTGTGTAGTATCACCAATCTGAGGAAAAGGAGCCAATCTTTCCCCATGCACTAGTATAGTAAAGTGTGTTAGAAATAAAATTGAAATGGGCATCAGTACTCCATCATTTGACCTACTCAGAATCAAACAGTGATGTCATGATGGTGTCAATGGAATTATCTTAGTGAATTTTATTGTGGAAGGATCTGTTTCCTACATCAGGATAGACCATAGGGCTTTGGGTTTTGTGATTTTATTTGCTTAGGAACTGAGTAATTGCCTCATAAAACAGCATGATAGTACTATTAACACTGAATTATAAGACCTGTTATTATAGAATGTGCTTTCCTAGTTGGGACAGGACTTCACTCTTTGGCACTTAAAATGATTAGTTTCTCTAAATGGGGTTATAATGAATAGTGTAAATTTTTACCTATTTAAAATAAAAAAGTTTACAATCTTGGGCGGCTTTTATGTATCATTTGATATTTTCAGGGAAGGAGTTTCTTTTCAGCGGCACTGGGAGTGCAGTATATTTAATGTTCAGAATGGAGGTGGTTAAAAATGAGGAGAAATACTTTATTTCTATCACACCTAAGGCCAATCTGAGATAGTCATTAAAGGATTTGCTCCATTGTGTTGCCTGATTTGGATATTACATATTAAAGGTTAACTGACTGTAAATTTGAAATTTTATGGGACTTTATTATGAATGATTAAAAAACCTAACTGAACTCTGTGACAGTGGGTTCCATACTTCCAAGTATGATTATGGAGTGAAAGTGAGATTTGTGTTGTTTTGACCACTTGTATGAAAGTCATTTATTCTGTTGAAGCAGTGGGATGTCTTTGGGCTCAGTTCTGCAGAAGGTGCCATGGGGTACTCTGAGATATAGGAAGTTTCAAGATGTATACAAGTGGTAAAGATGTAAATACATAGCAGGTTAATTTCAATTCAAGGAAATGATAGGAGAGAGAGGATTAGACGAGTGATTGCCAAAATAATGACAAGTTCAGAAATTGCAGTATAGGTAGTCAATCTTTGTGTGTGGGTGTTTTTTTTGTTTGTTTTTTGCCTGGAGTGACTGTTTATATATAGTATTTTGATCTGAATAAAAGGAAAAATCTGTCACATAGGTCAGTTGACCTTATTTTCTGTGGTTACCTTACATATAAGATATCGCCAGTTTTTGTTTGACACTTTGCCTTCTCAAAACATTATCTCATTCTATGTTGAGAAAGCTCCCTGGGGTCAAGTAGTTACTAGTCCTCACATTTTTTAAAATTTACAAATAAATGACAAAGTTGAGGCATGGGAGGTTGCATTCACATGGCTGCTTGGAGACTCGCCTATGGTCTCCTAGTTCAGGCTCTGCCATGTACTTTAACACAAGAATACAGTACTGTATGATAAATAATCTGAGTTTCAGCTGACCTCAAGACAGAGTACTTAAATTGTCTTTATAGGAGACTTTGTGTGGTCCTGAGTGCTTATTAAAAATGGTGGTTCTTTTGCAGGGAGCCGATTGAGTGAAGTTCTCCATGAATGTACGTCACAATGATGATGACCGACCAAATCCCTCTGGAACTGCCACCATTGCTGAACGGAGAGGTACCCATGATGCCACACTTGGTGAATGGAGATGCAGCTCAGCAGGTGGGTATAGTAAGAGGGAAATTGAAGTCAAATTATCTGAGGGGAAAACACTAACCCAATAATTGTGTTGAGACCGAAAGATCTGTGATTTCGAACATTGGCAGTTTTAGAGCTAAGTGTTTTTGTTGTAGAAGAACTGTATAATTTTTTAAAATATGATAAATTATGGTTTTTGAGAACAGCAAATCTTACCTCATCCAGTTAGTATTCTTGAAGCATCAAAAAAATGTCTGCTTTTTGAAATGAATCATTTTGAAAATATGTACCAGTCTTTGGAATAGAATGTTGCTCATGCCATATATTGTGCTTGACTGGCTTACCTTGTTGGCTGGAGCAGGACATTCAGCAGGCAGGTCAGCTTTTGACCTCACACAGGGTGTGACTGACCTTGACCAGATGCACAGATCCCTGCAAACTCAGCCTGTCTCCTAGAGCTGTCCTTCCAAATGTGGGGCTCACTGTTACTAAACATTACAGAATAGACAAGTTATTTCTGAACTCATCCATGTAGCATTTGGGGAAAAAATTAAACTGTAAGTACAACTTATAAAAATTATTAGAGACTGGACTATTCTGATAACATTAACTCTTTTATTAACAAAAACTGGGTCTGCTTAGTCTTATACTAATTAAACATCATTTTGTCTTTGCAAAGTTCTTCAGAAGCATAAAAGTAAACGTCTTTATCTTAGGAAAGTAGACTTGGAAACAATTGCTTACAAATGTATACCCCAAAAATATTAATAAATGAAATAAGTTAATCAGCCATTTTTGACATCAGTACATCTCCGCCCAGCCTATCGTAGTACAAGAACACTGTTTATCACAGCATATTAATACTCGTGTATATCTCTATTGGATCTTATTTTGCTGCTTAAAAAATGTTTTATTCTTCTTTCCTGCTGCAGTAGACTGTGAACCCCTTAAGAATAAGGAACACTGAATAGGTGCTCAGTGACCATCTGTCAGCTGAATACTTTTCATTCCCTTCTTACCAGCGGTGCAGATACCTGCCTTTCTGACTCCTTAGTCTTTCTGTCTTTCTGCTGGATCATTTTCACCAACACATATAGTGTCTTTTATCATAAGTACATAAACAACTACACCTCTCTCCACCCACAAAACAAAACTCCCTCCCTTGATTCCACACTCCCGTCCAGTTACCACCTTATAGCTCTCCTCCCGACAACAGAACTTCTCTAAATAGAGCCTCTGCTTCTCATCTCCATTGCTTTTCAGCTCCAGAGTCCTCGCTTGTGTCCTCCCACCTTTCTCTGCCAGTCTGCTGGCTTTATCTCAGGGCCTTTTTCTGAAAGCATACTTTGCTGTGTCCACTACCACTACTAGGCTCCAGGCCACATCTTTCACCAGGATAGGACAGTCCTCACTGGTCTCTCTTCTTTTATTTCACTTTTGTGCCATCAGAAAGCATTTGCCACACAGTCTTTTGAGTCTTCTTCTAAGAACATGCATTGTGTCACGTCACTGCCGCACTTAAAGCTATCCTGTTACCCGTGGAGTAAAATCCGAGTGTGGTGCCGTGGCCTGTTAGCCGTACGTCTATAGTCCTTGTCTTTCCCTTCATCGCTCTTCCACTACTGTGCTCCAGCCGCTCATGAGAAGGTCTCAAAGTACCGTGAGTGGTCTCGGCATGCCGTGTTTGCTCTCCCTTCTTTTAACTAATCAGAAGGATAACAAAAGACTTGGAAAGCACCCTCTGTCTCCTAAGTGTCCTCACCTGGTTCCTGTGCGCATCTGTACTCAGAGGCCTGGGGCCCCTGTCCATGTTATCGTGTGTCCTTTTAGTGTTTTGGTTTCTTCCTCATTTCTGTAATACAGTTTGCACAGAAGAGCCTTTTATAGATCATGAACCAGCAGATAAAGCCCTTAGTTATAGAATCATTCAGTTTCCTCTTTGGAAGTAAACCCTTTGTACCTAGAAATGACGAGAGACTGGACTTCCTCAGCAGGCCGTGCATTTACTTCAAGTCTAATTAGAAGCTGCTTACTCATTTTGGTTTATAAAATCACATTTTTAATTCATCCGAGACTTTTTCTGTAATGACAAGGGGAAATCTCTCTGTTTTATAAATAATAAAATATTAAACTTTCTCAAACTGGGGTACACTTACTCTAAAAAATCCTATCAGAAGGAAATGTTTCAGTCTTTCTGATTAGTAAATATGTGCTAGAAGCATTAACATTTATAGGTTATGCGGACCAAGCTATTGATGAGCATTAACCCTAAATTGCCCGTAATGGGTTATGATCGTTAGGTGGGCAGAGTGTGTTTGGAACATCCCTCCCAGCAGGACCACCCCAAGGTTTGTCATGCCTGGTTGTGGCCTCTGTTGTCCCTGTGGCTCAGCCTAGGTGGGGGCTCTGTGCCTGACCATTTCCTTCCTCTTTTTGCCCCCAGGGGCCCCATCCTGTATCTCTCTGATTCCCTCAGGCCTCTGCTCTCTGCTTTGGGTTCTAACATTGACCCTTGGCCTGGTTAAGTGTGACAGAGTCCTCCAGGCCTGTGTGTGGAACCGGGGCGGAGGCACAAGGGGAAAACTAACCCAAGGAGCAAGCAAAATCAATGATGGAGAAATGCCAGACAGGAGATAAGGAAAGAGGAGAGTGGTAGGGGTCACCAGAAAAAGGGCAAGGACCAAATGTGGGGACCCATGGATCCAAGAGCCTGGGACTGCAGGAGTTTTAAGTGCTGGCCTGGGGCACCTGTTGGCATTTGCTGCCTGCTCTTCAGAGACAGTGTGGTATTGTGCTCAGGGCTTCTTTTTAAAGGATCAGGACATAGAGGACACTCCAGAGAGAATTACCTGTACTGATGTTCGCGGAGGCTTTTACTGTGCTGTTCCTCTGCAGCAGTACTTGTTTGTGTTAATCAGGACCTTTTGGAGGCACAGTGTTATGATCAGTGATGGACGTAGCAGGCACTGTTCGACAGACCCTTGGCAGTGGCATTTCAAGGGAGGTAGCACTTGAGCTGCTTCTTAAGTATACTGTTGTAAAGAGCTGCCCGCTGGTTACGGGGCTCTTCCTCTGCATTTCTGTTAGTAGTCGGTATGGTGAAGCTTACCTTGTATGTGTTTACAGCTTTCTTAATGCTTTGCAGCTCTGTAGAGAACAGTCTAAACATGTCTATGTATGCAAGAGAACCACCACAGTTATGAGAAAGCTCTTCAGTCCCCACAGCCACTCTCCTGATTTCTGCCCTGTTGGTGTGAATTCAATACGTATGGGTTCTTGGCAGGCTTCTCTGCTCTGTTCTGGCTCTTTAAGTAAGAAACTGTTAATTTTCATTATCTGAAGCCATGTTAAGTTTGAATCCTTGGTCTGTCATTTTATAGAGGTAGCAGGGAAAGGATGCTTCTTTGCTTAAAATAAAAAGCCATCCTTATTATGAATGAAGATTTAAACATAATATATTATCAACTAAATAATAATGAGCAAGAACAACAGCAACAAATACAATATGGACAGAAGCAACTTAGCAGCTTTACTTATTCAACAGTTTTATTGAGATATATCCACGTCATGCAATTCACTTACAAAAAGTGTACAATTCAGTGGAATTTACTGTATTCACAGAATTGTGCAACCATGACTACAATTGATTTTAGAACATTTATTCAACCTGAAAAAAAATCCCAAAACCCTGTAGCAGTCATATCTCCTGCCAATTCTCAGGTAGCCACTAATGCTTTCTGTCTCTGTAGATAATTTGCCCACTCTGGGCATTTTATATAAATGAAATTGTGAAATGAAATGGTAGCATGTATCAGTACTTTGTACATTTTTTATTGCCCAATAACATTCCATTGGATGAATATGCTGCACATTGTGTATCCATTTATCAGTCGGTGGGCATTTAGGCTGTTTTCACTCTTTGGCCGTTTGCACTGTGGGCATGTTTTCATTTCTCTTGGATATATACCTAGGAGTAAGATGGAACAACTTTACTTTGAACTGTTTTCTAAATAAAACACCTCTGCTTCTTGTTATAATTTCTTCTACTTTGAATAGATAACATAGCTAAATAAAGTTTGCTTCTCTTAATATGGTAACTGTATATTATTCTTGAGTTATAAAAATCAGGTTTTGACTTGAGTTTTTGTGTGTGGCAAAATAAATTATAGTGCATGCCCTTCAGTAATCAGAATGTTGGAGCTTGTGTTGCTATTTTCAGAGCCTAGTGGTATATTAATGAAACTGCCTTTGTTAGGGACTTCTAGTACACCTTAAAGATTTAAAAGTGCAGCAGCTATTTTGAGCATGAAAAGGTAAGCATCAATCCAGTTTCCTACTTTTTCTGTTGTTTTTTTTTTTTTATAATCTCAAGAAGAATTCTAGCACCCACCAGTTGTGTAAGGAAGTCATTAGGTTCAGAACAGAAGTGCTAACATAGAGTTTCCTGATTTGCTAATTTAATCTGTGACACTCATATCCTCCATGAGGGTGGTGTACCACTCTACATTCTCACGTTCTTAGTGACTCTTCCCATGTCTGTATTCATTGGGGGTCTGTGGGGTGAGTTGGGGTCAGACGCCTCTGTCCTAACTAGCATATAGCACAGCTTAGAGGGCGCCCAGCCACATTTTGTTTGTCATATTTATGTCTCTTTTTTCTTTTAAGCTTGCAGAATATTAATTGCTAATGAGTGTTCCTTTGTGCTTCTTCTTCAGGAAGTAGATCTCCTTAACTGTAAACAGAAAGTGTATCCCTCCTGCCATCTCAGGATAGCATGCGAACAAGCTTGCCCTCTGAGACAGGACATTACGTTTGTCTCAGCTGCATCCAGTTCCCTTGCCTTGGCCTGTTCCTGCTGACCGGCACTTAGCATTCCGTTTTACTGAGAGTGAGGTTCCCCACCTTTTGTTTCTTCTTTTTAAAAGTCTTTGTTTCCCCTAGACAGAATACACAGCCATAGTTTTCCTGGAGCATTCTTTGGAGCACTCATTTCCAGGCAGCACATTAAACATATTAAAACTTTC